GACAGAAGCACAGGGGAAGAAACGAGCCCTGCATTTCTGAACTGATCAGTATATGCAAAAAAGAGTTTGTAAAGGAGCCTCACGGGACCTGAATTTGCATTGGATGAATCCTGGCTGCACACATGGGTGACAACAGCAACAGCACAGTGCAAACAGAAAGAGAAAGGGCAAAAGATCAGGCCCACCGGTTCCTCATGTGGTTTCCTCTCACGCTATCCATCCTGGGGAAACACGTTTCTTTCTTCCTCTGAGGATCATAACTTGAGGCCAGAAATTTGCTGACAGCCTCAAGCCATCCATTTCTTACTGATTCCAAAACACTCTGCCTTTTATTTTTTCTTCTTTTTGCTCTTCTCAAGCTTGATCAGAGCTTGCCTTGAGTGGAAACCCAGGATGATTTAAAAACATCGCTAACAACACAAAACACTGCAGATGGCAGTTCCTTTTCCTCTGTACTGAGCAACCAAAGGGAAATATGTGTGGCACAGAGCGTATCATTTGTAGATCCCAGCATGGTGGCCCTAAGATCTAGTTGCTTGCATAGCAGAACCTCCATGCTTCCAATGGAAATGATAACAACTGTTTTTTTTTTTCCTTCCAGGGGAATTGATCCCTATGATAAGCCAAACACCATATACATTGAACGGCATGAACCCTCTGGTTACTCTACAGTTTTCCGAAGTACAGACTTCTTCCAGTCTCGGGAGAACCAGGAAGTAATCCTCGAGGAAGTGAGAGACTTTCAGCTTCGGGACAAATACATGTTTGCTACAAAGGTTGTGGTGAGTTGCAAGTGCTAAATAACAAATTGCTTTGGGGTTTTCTTTCTGAGGTTTGGCATTCTCTGATCAGGCCGGTGAGTTCACACAAGCAGGGCCTGGATCACCACGGCTGGGGTAGCTTGACCGAAGGGTGCTGGACGGAGATAGGCATTCCCAAAGGGCTTGGAAAGTCCTGGGAGGTCAAGGAGTAGAGAAGCTTAGTCAGCCACTCAGAGTGTCTGTAGGCTCTAAGAATTTGGTTGTTTCCCAGTAGCCAGGCATCCTGGACAAACACACATTTCTTTGAAATCTCAATGAAAAAAATTCGGAAAAGAGGGTTGGGGCTCAGTGTCATTTTTCTTCTATCCCACTGCCTGATTTCCTTTTAATTTAGGCCAATTTCTTTGCAAATTTTGGTCCCATGTTAATTTACATGGCTAATAGAGTGTGTAGTCATTGGAGAGTGGGAGTAAAGTGCTCTAAGAAAAGCAGTAATTAAGCTTCCAGCTGTCAGTAAATAGCTTAACTTTCAGCCTTTGGGAAAATCTTCCCCTTGATTTGATGCATTGGAGCCAGATGCTGAAATGGAGAGCTTGCTCATTTAATAACACAATTGATTATTTAACAGGACCTGCCTTGCAACTGTATGAAGTTGCAGATTGCAATTATACTGCCCTGTGTAAATTAAAAAGCAGGCCTGGTCAAGAGCAGGCTGGGCTACTATCCAGGGGGTGCTATAAGCTTGCTTTCTTAATGGTGGCCACTCGTTGACTTCAGGATGTTGAGGGCCTTTGGTAACTGGGGAATCGCTCTGCTTTCTATCACTGTTAACCTTAACGACTAAAATCAGATGTAATGTTTTCCTCCAGGTTCTCATTTATTTATATGATTGGCAGCTGGCCAACCAGAAACAGGTCAACCCCATTGGGATTTTAGGGTAGAAAGAGGGAAAGCAGGGAGCAAGATTGGAATGAGGAGAGAAGATGGGGATGGCTAAAGGCAAGAGGGGCTTCCCATTACCTAGTTTGCAAAATGTTTTTTTTTTTTTTTTTCTTTAACTATTAAGCTAGGGCAGTTTTTCTTCTGTCAGGCTTCTTGCCTTGAGTTACTCCCTGGGCCATTGCCTTCCTGCTTTACTTGACTCTTTCACACACACACACACTCACTCACTCACATTCCAGCCTAAGAACACAAGCATTCTTGGATTTCCTCAGGCAGGGATGTGGTGGTAAGAAATCAGCCCTGAAGACTGGCACCTCACAACTTCTAGTTGGGCAGTCCTATATCCCAGGATCATCTCCAGTCATCCAGTGTTCATAGGTCTTTTCTGTTTTAGTTTCTTGGGTCTGGATTTTTTTGGTATGATTTTAATTTCTTGATTTTAAAGCACAGTGACTATTCCCAGATTTGTCCTGTGTCAGAACTGAGGTGGAGGGGTATAGTACATTATTCTTAACCCTATTATTTCTGGATCTCACACCCAGAAGTCTAAGTTATATGCCAGCTGGAACTTCCTCTGCCCTTCATTCCGGTCTAACAGCTATGTCTGTTTTCTAGATGTAGGTGATTTGCAGAGTGCTAGTGGTAAGTTTTTTTTTATCATTCCTGGCCAGTGGTAAGATTGGGGCTGTGCCTATTTTGATCATCACTGATATAATACAGTATCTTGCACAATGCTTGATACATAGCAGATGTACAGTAGAGTTGAATGAATGCCATCTTTGCCTGCCTTAATTTAGAAAGCATAGGCTAGTAGATTTTGGGGGGATTTAGGGGTATTAAATTATTGGTACTTTAACAGTCAACTCTCAACTCTTTATTTGGCTTATTTATTTATATTGTATTGGTGGCAAATCTATAGTTACGTGTTGGCTTCTTCTTTCAGCACATGGACGGGCCACCATATCCCAAGGTCAGTGGTATTAGCTAGAGGATCTAGGTAAGATGAGCTAGGCCACTACTTGGAAGTGTTTCTCAGATTGTGCTCTTAGGAGCACCTGCAGCAACATCGCCCAAGCATAGTTGTTACAAATGCAGAGTACAGGCCCAAATGCATTTTTTTCTTCCTTTAGCAGCCCCAGGATGCCTAAGAATCTCTAAAATTTGAGAAACTCCTCCTTGAGGCCTTCTATATGCAGACACTTCTAATAATTGTCAATTATTATCAAGGGAACATTTCTCAATGGATAGGTCGATGAGAAGAAACAACTGGCGATGGATCATAAAATGGCTGTTTTCCTCCATTTTATTACACTAGACTACTAAACCATAAGGACAAACAACATTGGCCTTGGTTGGATAACCTAATCAGTAGGAGTGTTGAGGCTTACAAGTGTAACTCCTTATCTGGGTGTGCCTAGTGCTCAGGATGCCTGGGTTTGGGGAATTCTGTAAAGGTCTGTATAGAAATAGATTCAAATAAAATTTGAAAAGTCAAGGAACTAATTGCAAAACCATAGAAAATTCATTTTGGTCCCTTAACTCTTTTGTTTTCTTCCAGCACTATGAATAATTACAATTCTCTGCAAGTTAGTTTTTTAGAATGTGTGGGGATAGCCATCTGGTTTCTGGGCTAGAGCATGTATCCAAGTCTTCAGAACTTTATGGAGCCTTGTTGGCCAGGCTTTTACTTCATGTGCACATTTTGTCTGATGCCCTTTGGTTTTTTTTATCCAAGTCTAATTTTTTTTTTTTTTGACATGAAGTTCACTTGTCTTAATGGTTTACATCAAAATGATAGGTCCATCTAAACAACAGTGAGGAACCTCTGCAAACTGACATATCAATTTGTTACCTTGGTAATATATAGCTGTTTGGTTCTCTCTGGGAGATGATGATAGTGGCCACAAAGTTGGAGGTAAATGAGGATTAGCTGCTTCTCTGTAGCTTTACTACCAATTTGTCATGAAAAGCCAGGTTTAGACATTTCTTGCACAAATGTATGTCATTAAGCAAGGACACAACGTGTGGGCTTTATGGAGTCTCCTCCCTGTTCCTGTAGGTGATGCAGCTGCACCTTGCATGATGTAGACATAGAATTCTAGAGCGGGAATTGGAAAACTATGCTCCTTCACTGTTTTTATCAGTAGAGTTTCATTGAAACACAGCCATGCTTATCTGCTTATATGTGGTCTATCATTGCTTTCATGTTACAGTGGCAGAATTGAATAGTTGCATAGAGGCAGGATGACTCACAAAGTCCAGAATATTTCTGTATAGACCTTTACAGAAAAAAGTTTACCATCCCCGTTGTAGAGGCAGGATTCTGTTATCCTTTCAATTGGCATTGGACAACCAGAATCCTCTGAGATTGACAAGTCTTAGGCATGAGCCTAAAAGTTCAGATTATAGGCCGCCCTAAATATTTATGCTCTATTCATGCCAGGGTGTTTTCTTTAGGATATTATGGCCAGTTCAGACATCTTGCATGCTACTGATTTCCTTAAAGAGCTCATTTATACTTCACTGCTTAGACCAACTAACCATTAATTTCACTATTAAAAATTAATTTCTAATCTTAATTATGCTAATTTAAAATCTCTAATGTAGATAGAGATTAAATAAAAACTTAGTAATTACCTCTGGATTGTGAGCTTCTACATGAGAAGTTAGCTGACCACTTGGTACTATAATTGAGGTACTAGAATTTCTGCATAACTGACTAAAACCAACTGTTGACAAATTATTTTGATTACGATGTTACTTAAAAGTATGCAAACATAAAGCTAGGTATAAGCATATACTGTTTATAACTTATATACAACAATAAAACCGAAATATATTCACAGATTTAAAGTAAAACTATAATACTAATAAATTTAAAATGAATTTTTATAATACCTGCATTGAGATTTAATTCATATACCATAAAATTCACCCCTTTGAAATGTACAATTCAGTGCTTTCTAATGTATTCACAAGGTTGTATAATGTTCATGACTACCTGATTCCAGAACATTTTCATCACCTTCAAAAAAACTCCATGCCCATTAGCATTACTTCCCATTCCCCTCTCCTCCCAGCCCCTGGCAACCATGACTCTAGTTTCTGCCTTATGGATTTGCCTATTCTAAACATTTCATATAAGGGGAATTATATGATATATGACCTTTTGGACTGCTTTCTTTCAAAGTATAGTGTTCTCAAGTTTCATCTGTGTTGTAGTATGGATTATCAGAATTAATGTGTTTATAAGTTCAGAGCTGCTTTCTTCTGCCAGTTCAGATCTCTTGTTGAACTTCTCTAGTGATTTTTTTTTTCTTTTGAGTTATACTTTTCAACTGAAGAGTTTCAGTTTGTTTCTTTTTTAAAAAATAATTTTCAGTCATAATTTCTTATTTGATTTTCTTTATTTAGTGAGACAATGTTCTTATACTTTCCTTTAATTTTTGAGACATGGTTTTCTTTAGTTCTTTTAACATATTTATCATAGAGGATTTGAATTTTTTTGTCTAAGGCCAGTATCTGGCCTTCCTCAGGAACAGTTTCTGTTGACCCTGTATGTGTGTGTTCTGTATGTTTTTATTGGATATACTTTGCTGTTTGCTTGTCCTGTCATTTTTTTTGTTGTTAATGTCGAAAACCAGACATTTTAAGTGAGATAGTATAGCAACTCCTCATATCAGAGTATCGCCTTCCCAGGGTTTTTGGTTGTTGTTTGTTATTGTTATTGTCGTTGCCTTTCTTGTTTTGTTTTTTGTTTTGTTTTGTTTTGTGAATTTCCTGCATTAGTTTTGTAAAGTTTACATTCTTCATTATGTGTGGCTACTCAAGTGTTTGATATTTAGTTTAGTGGTCAGGTAATGACTGAACAGAGATTTCTTGAAATGCTTTGAGCCAGTAAGCTGAGGCCCTCTGAGCTTGTGTTGAGAGCATGCCTTCAGTGCAATTTGTAGCTCTGCCTTAGCCTTTTCTTCCGACTTGTGCAGAGCCTCAAGGTTATTAGCCAGGCATGAGTGACTGGCCCTTTTTGGTTCTTTCTTGAGTACACACAGCTCTATGTATGTGACCTTATAGATTCCCTGGAATATTTCAGCGCTTATCAAAGCTTCTCATGCATATCTTCTTCCCCTGTTTTTCCTTTCATGCTTTTTAGTTAACCTCTTGTTAGTTTCAAGTGGTAATGCTTATCCGGCGGTTGTGATGTTAAACATTTGTCAGTTGTCATTCTTCCATAAATACCCTGGCTATAGATCTATTTGTACAGTGAGGTAAATCAGGTTATATAAAGAGAAGATCTGAGAATACAACTTTCAAGCAAACTACCAGGCAGGTCAAATAGTGACAGCTCTCTGGCTATGGGACATTTTGGAAGCTCCAAACTTGTTTTATTCTCTCTGGTGGCCGCTAGGCTCCTGTTTTTCACAGCTATTGTAGTTGTGAAGCTGTGGGTTTCCAATACTATTGCAGAGCTAGAGAGAAGGGGATGGGATTAGGGCAAGATAAAACATCACAAAGTTGGGTATTTTTGCTGAGTTTCAGTCATTGTTCTTGAATAAATGCTCCTTGGGTTTTGCAAGCCTTTGTTTAATATTTAGAATTCTGAAAAAGTTGATTTTGAGAATTTCTGTCAAATGTTCTTGTTGCTGTTGCAGATGAATGGATCTTTAGAGTTCCTTACTTTGTTATTCTGGAAGTACTTCCAATTAATATTAACTTCGTAAATTTTTTATTGTGAACATTTTCAAATCTACATAAAAGAATGGTTTATACTGCTGTGACCTCCCCATGTGCCCTCATTCAGCCTCAGTATTACCTGTATTTGCTAATCTTTTTTCAGCTGTCTACCCACTAATTTTTTCCTGGAATATTTTAAAACTAATTCCAGATATATCATTTTGCCTATAAATATTTAAGTATAAATTACATTAATGTGGATAATGGAGTTTGCTGAAACTTTGTTACTGCTTCAAAGGAGAAGGTGGTAGCGAATGCTACAGCCCAGGTGCTTCTGAATTGGTGTTCTTGTCCACTACCTGCCTTGGGATCCCTCATTCTCTCACCAGTTTTTTTTCTGAGAAACTTTTAGTTGAATAGCTCACTGTGACATCCTTTGTCCTTTGCTTGGCAATGTGTCATTTGTTTAGTTTCTTCCTGCTCTTTTCTCTTTGACCTCTCCTTTCTTTTTATTATTGACATAATCTCAAACATAAGTGTAAATGTACTCTCCGAAATTTGGGTCATTCAGTACTTACATTAATTTATTTTTACTCACCAGAAATGAAGATGCCAAATGAAAAATTTTTAATCATGAATTCTAGATCCTATAATATTGCCATATATATTAAAATGTTTAAATAATTCCTAGTTGTGAAATTATATGTGCTTGGTAGATGTATTAACTGGTGTGCCTTTTAGGAAAGCCATTTATAATATCTATCAAAAATGAAAATTTTGACCTAGGAATTTTAAGAATGCATCTGCAAACATTCCTGTGTAGTTCTGAAAGAGGTATTATATACAAGTACGTTCATTGAAGAGTGCTTTTGGAAATAACCTAAATGTCCATCAAAAGCTGTTAAATGAAAGCTGTCTAAGATTTACTGTTAAGGAAAAAAGTTAAATTATAGAACAGTTAGATAGTCTGGTAATGAAAAAAGTTGAGTCGCACAACAATATTTTTATCATGATCCAATTTATATATGAAAAATAAAATTGCTTGTATGAATTTAGCATTGTGTTAGGCTACTAGATATAAAAGTGGCTTAACCAATCAATGCTGCTTGAAAGATAGGCAATCTAGGGCTATGTTGGTATCTTGGTGTTATTGGGGACCTAGGCCTCTATCTTTCTGTTCTATCATCCTAAGTAGTGATTTCTATTCTCAAGGTCCCCTCGTGGTCCAAGATATTTGTACTAACTTTCTAGTCTTTATTGGCTTTAGGAAGAATAAAGACAGAGAGGTCAAAACAGAACTCCTTTAGCTGATTCATTCCCTTTAAACAGCCTTCCTAGAAACCCAGTACAGCACTTCTGTTTATATCTCATTGATTAGTACTGAGTCACATGACCACATATAGTTGCACAAAAGGAAGAGAACCCTAGTCTTTTAGAGTAGAGAGTAGGGGGCAGAACTTTTGCATTTTACCTAATATCTACCTGTGATGTTGGATGTTTTACATAAGCATGTTTTAGTTTTATAATAACAATAAAGAACAACTCAACAACAAAAACCCAAGGTTTATTAAGAAAAATATTAGGGCTTTACAATACATCTTATTTTCAGTAGTGTGCCATAGTTTAGTTGTTAATATTTTTTTACTGCAGTAAAATATTATAATAACTCTTTAAGAATACATTATGAGTGAGCCTAAATTACCCAGGTTTAGGACCATTCTCCTGGAAGGCAGTGGGATGAATATGTTTCAAGGTTCTTTGTTCTTTCCTTTTCTTTTCTCTTTTTTTTAATGACTTGTATTCTGTGATTTTTTTCATTTATAGAGTAAGACCAGCCTTGGTATACATTCTCAATTCTCAGGCCTCCCAGCAGCACTCATTATGAACATTTAACTCATGATCAGTCTGGGGGTCATTAAGAAAAATGACTTCTTTTTAAGGTATAACCACAGTAAGAAGTAGTGAAAAAATATAAAACATAAAAGTATGTGTTTCATTGATATCTGTGTATTTGTATATATTCATAAGAATTCACATAGATTGACTTAAACTATCATCTGACTTTTGTACATAGCTACAAAATTTTATTGACTTAAGGAGGACTTTTGGAATTTATAAATATTTTAATGGAAACCATTTTCTCATTCAGGTAAAACGTTTTTCATTTTTAATAGGTTCATCATTTCCTACAGTCCCATACTAAGTACAAGCTATTAACATGGTTTTTAGGGTGCCATTTTGCAATAGCAGTCTTCTATACTTCTCTATCTTGCTTCTTTAAAACAAACTACTTTTAACCATTTGTTCAGTTGTGGTTTGAATACACACACACACACACACACACACATAAACTGCTCAAACGAATCAAAAATAACTTCATGTTCATCAGCTTGCAGTTCATATAGTATTTATTGGGCATGCATGAGCACAGAGTATTCAGTTGTTATTTTATAGTTAAGAGAAATTGATACATTCTTTACTCTATAGGAATTCAAAATCTATAATAAATAGTAGCAACATAACCAAGGATAAAGGAAGCCCTTCTGGATAGGGATCTCAACATTCTAATGCATATAATAGTCATGTGTGTGATTATGTCTACATGAGGGTGTGCCTCCCTCTTAGAAGTGCAAAACTACATAGCGCCTTTATAGTGCTTCTTATTCTTTTTTGAATCATCGATCCTTTTGAGAATCTGGTAAAAGATATAGATCCTTCCTAGCACAATGAGTGCATCTACACAAAAATATTGCATATATATTTACAGGGTTCCTGGACCCTTTAAACCCTTCCATACAGAAGCCCTAATCCAAATTAGCTTTTGCAGATGAATAAAATGAGACCTTGAGAGATTCATTGATTTCCTCTTAATCTAGTGCTTTTATATACATTTTTAAGATTTCAGCCATGGTTTAATATCTCTGAAATGCAATGTGATATGGTCAACATTATGTGGAATACTCTGTACTCAACCAAAGAAAACATATTCTAGCAAAAGACCTTAATTAATGAGAATTATTAAAAGATTGAAAATTTAGTCTATGGCCATGCTACCCTGAACAAGCCTGATCCCGTCTGATCTCAAAAGCTAAGCAGGGTCGAGCCTGGTTAGTACTTGAATGGGAGATCACCTAGGAAGACCAGACACTGTAGGCATAAAAAATTAAAAAAATAAGGGATTGTAAGCTGACAAGGTCTTTACAGTCTGTGAGGTCAACTAAGGGTTGCCTCGCCTAAAAAAAATAAAAAAATAAAAAAAAAAGGAAAAAAGAAAAATTGAATCAATGAAAATTCTCTCAACTCGGTGCACATAAAAGCCTTGTAACTCCAGTGTCCTTATAATATGAAAAAAGGAGTAGAAAGAAATGAGAATATGTTTGTGTGCATGGCGTGTAGCTGATCTCACCCTGTGGTGGTTTTGGGGCTGTTGACTCTGCTCCACCTTCCAAAAGGTCTCTTCAGCTTCGTCATACAGTCTTTTTCTTTTCGCTCTCTGCTTAAGCTTTGGCAGCCTCCATCCTCCTACCTACGCCCAAGTTCTTGAATCATACATACCATTGTCTTTCCTCCTCATCTAACATCCAGGGAGTATTTAGAATCTATTGCAGACTGGGTATCTAAGATAAAGCAGTACAGCCCAAACTGTCCCGTGACAACAGATGTTCCAAATTGTGCATTGGCAGTCATATTCTATTTTGTTTTTAGAAGAATCAGAGGGGTTTGACTTTTCCATTTCCTTTTTCACTTATTTTGTGTGGCTGTAATGTGGCACAATTGATTTTTTTCTCTTCCTTGGCAGCATCTCTTGGGCAGTCAACATCCACCTTCCGTGCAGCTTTGGGTTTCTTTTGGCCGAAAGCCCATGCGAGCAGCCCAGTTTGTCACAAGACATCCTATTAATGTGAGTGGGGTTCGCTTGGGGGTGGGACGAGGTGTCAGTGTACCCATTGCAGAGGTCAAGAAAAGGGTGTTGTGGGACTGTCCTGGGTGAATATTTGACTACATTCCCTGAAGTCCCTTTCCAGATAGGTCTCTAGAGAGAGGGCCATTATGCTTTGGGCATCTTGGTCTGTTTTTTTCCCTCATCATTGTTTGAAGTAGAACTGAATGGGAGCCTTAATTTGCTTTAAGTGGAGTAGGATTGGCAGAGAGGTTTAGAGGCAGAGTCACTGGACCCAGTGTGCTGGTACTGAAGGGCTAGGAGTTAGTGACAACAGCAGTTGTTTAAGTATCTGCTGTGTTGCTCACAGATGGCTAGGTTTGTAAAAGGTGTAGGATTTGGGTCCTACCTTTTTCATACAAGTAGGTTGGAGAGACTGAGAACTAAGCAGAGGAAGAACCATATGTAGTCACATTCAGTCTGTGTTATAACTTAGAGATTGATGAGAAAGATCAGTGTGGGCTGGAGTCATCAAAGAAGTGGTCACAGGGAGGAGGTGGCATTTGAAACCTTTGACACTAGTGGTTGGTATGGTGGAAGTTTAGTAGCTCAGAGGAGTATATGATAGAAAACACTCTTGTCAGTTCTTTGCTTTCTATGGGTTCCACCTTCCTTTAGTCACCTTGGAAAATAAAAAGGAAAGGAAATGCACGTTAATCTATACTGTACTTTGTACTAATGATAGGTCTTATGGGAAAAAAATAGGAGATTTTATTAACTAAAAAGAGGTTTTTCGGTCATTTATGGAGTTCAGTGGCCTATTCTTATTTCGTGTCCCATTTTCCAATAGAGGGCCTACCTAGTTCCAGCTGTAGAGCCCCCTCAGGTTCTCCAAAGGGAAATCCAGCCAGGCTTCTTTGCCAAGACTGGGGAGCTTTCTGTGGGTTTCAGGCCCACATTTGTCACTGAGACTTTGGGACGACATCGCTTTAGTATATATAGGGAAAGCCAAGAGGACGTATGCTTTTTTTGACCTAATGTATTTTTTGATTTTTGATTCCAAAGGAATATTACATCGCAGATGCCTCTGAGGACCAGGTATTTGTGTGTGTCAATCATGGTAACAACCGCACCAACTTACACATCTCAGAGGCAGAGGGGCTGAAGTTCTCCCTGTCCTTGGAGAACATACTCTATTATAGCCCAGGAGGGGCTGGCAGTGACACCCTGGTGAGGTAAGGCGTGCAGGGGTTCCCCACGGCTTCCCCAGATGAACACGACCATTGACCTCAAGTGGTGGTTTTTAGCAATAGCTGTACATTTAGACTCACTGGGATGTTTTTAGAAACCTCACACCTGGCTCATGTTCTTGGAGATGACAGTTTAACTGGTTTGGGGTGTGGCTGGTGTGTGAGGATTTTAAAAAGCTCCCTAGGTGATTTTTATGTGATGACAAAGCTGAGCACTGACATTTAGAGTTTCAGATGCTCTGTCAACCTCTCTCTTTGGTTCCTTTCATTTAGTCATCTGGTTTTTGTGCAAGGTGTTGTTCTGTGGGTATCTGTGGAAAGATACCAATGTCATTGATACTTTATCAGTAAATCGCATGCTTGGGATTGTTCTATAATGGGCATTCTCTAGGCTGTGGAACAGTCTGGGGTTTGGGAGAGATCAATGCCATGAATTTGTGGGTGGTACTGTGGTCCCTCAGTGCCACCAGTTCACTTATTCTTATTTGTTGTGTGACAAACCAGGTGTCTGTGATTAGGATCACTCTTTGCTCTTGTAAAGAGCCGTCTGGTGAAGCTGACTGGTCTTTAGTGAGGTCTGGCTCTAAGGCCATGACCACTGGTTCATAGGGTATGTAACTACTATCTACTGTCTCTCCTCATGCTGGCAGTTCATTTAGTCATCAGTTCATTCAGCGAGTATGCTGCTGCTCTATGCCAGACCTTGTTCCAGGTACAGCAATAAAATAATTTATACAGCAATGAAAAATCAGAATAAAGTCCCTGTTCCATGGAACTTTTGTTCTAATTAAGGGAAGACAGAATATAAACAAATATGTAATCTGCCTGGTCATGGTGAGTGCCAAAGAAAGTAAGAGGACAGGAGTTTATGAGGGTGTTGTTTTATATCAGCTGATCGTGGAAAGCTGCTCCAGGAGGGTCACATTAGAGCAGGAGCCTGACTTTCACGAGGGAAGGAGCCAGGCAGATACCCGGGGCAGGTTGAAGGAACAGCAGGCACAGTGACCCTAATGTGGGACTTTGTTGGTTTATTTTAGGAACAATGAGGCCAGGATGGATCAAACAGTTGAAGGAGGGGAGAGAGAATCCAAAAGACAGGATCCAAGAGAGCAGGGCTCAGATTATATAGGGCCTTTAAGGGCATGGAAAAAAATTTGTTTTTCTTCTAAGTGGGATGGAGGCATTTATCCAGAAGATGGACATCATTTTATTTAACCTATTACATTTTTTACCATTTAAAAAATTGTGAATTGCGTTATATAAAGTGTATACAACATATATGGATAGTGTTATAAATAATTTTAAGGGAACGCCCATGGACTTACCTTTTAAAAAAGCTTTCCTTGATGCTGTGTGGAAATTATACCCGTCGAGGGGACAAAAATGGAGTTGCAGAAATCCAGGCCTTGCATATTCTTGCCTCCTTTGTCATAGATTAATGACCATATAGTCATTGGTTTGTTTCTAGTCTCTATTTTTGTTCCATCAATCTATGTGTCTGTTTTTATGCCGGTACAATGCTGTTTTTATTGGTATGGCCTTGTAGTATAGTTTGATATCAGGGAGCATATTCTGATTTTGTTTTTCTTTCTCAAGATTGCTTTGGCTCTTCAGGTCTTTTATGGTCCCATATAAGTTTTAGGATTATTTGTTCTAGTTCTGTGAAAAATGCCATTGGTATTTTGATAGGGATTACATCGAATGTGTAGATTGCTTTGGGTAGTATGGACATTTTAACAATGTTAGTTCCTCTTATCCATGAGCACAGTATATGCTTCCATTTATTTGTATCTTCTTCAGTTTTTTTCTTCAGTGTCTTATAATTTTCTGAGTACAGGTCTTTTACATTGTTGGTTAAATTTATTCCTAGGTATTTTGTATTTTTTGATTCTATTGTAAATGAGGTTGTTTTCTTAACTTCTCTTTCTGACATTTCATTATTGGCAACCAATTTCCAAATATTAATTTTGTGTCCTGCTACTTTACTGGATAGATTTATTATTTCTAATAGTTTTTATTGGATTCTTTAGGGTTCTCTATATATAGTATCATGTCATCTGCAAATAGTGACAGTTTTACTTTTTCCTTTCCAGTCTGGATGCCTTTTATTTCTCTTTCTTGTCTGATTGCTGTGGTTAGAACTTGCAATATTATCTTGAATAGAAGTGGTAAAAGTATACATGCTTGTCTGTTCTTGATTTTAAGGAAAACGATTGTAGCTTTTCACTGTTGAGTATAATGTTCACTGTGGGTTTGTCATATATGGCCTTTATTATGTTGAGGTATGTTTCCTTTATTCCCACTTTGCTGAGAGTTTTTATTATAAATTGATGCTGGATTTTTTCAAGTGCTTTTTTTGCATCTATTGATAATGATCATGTTTTTTATCCTTCATTTTGTTTATGTGGTTAATTGATTTGTGGATGTTAAATCAACCTTGTGTCTGAGGAATAAATCACACTTGATTATGGTGATCTTTTTAATGTATTGCTGAATTCAGTTTGCTAATATTTTATTGAGGATTTTTGCATCAATGTTTATTAGAGATATTGATCTATAATTTTTGTGAGTGTGTCTGTGTGTGTGTGTGTGTGTGAGTGTGTGATATCTTTGTGTGGTTTTAGAATCAGGGTAATGCTAGCCTTGTAAAATGAACTTGGGAACCTTCCCTCCTATTTAATTTTTAAGAATGGTTTGATCTGAAGTGAGTCTCTTGTAGACAGCATATGTAAGGGTCTTGTTTTCTTATCCATTCAGCCACCTTATGTCTTTTGATTGAAGCATTTAATCCATTTACATTGAAAGTAATTATTGATAGGTTTGTAGTTATTTCTTCTCTATTATTCATATTTTTGATATTTTTTTCTTCTTCTCAAAGAAGTCCCTCTAACATTTCTTGAAATACTGGTTTCGTGGCGATGAACTCCTTTAGCTTTTTCTTGTCTGAGAAGCTTTTAATCTCTCTTTTGATTCTTAATGATAGTCTTGCTGAGTAGAGTAATCTTGGTTGTAGGTCCTACCTTTTTATTACTTTGAACATTTTGTGAGAATTCCTGCTTGCCTGCAATGTTTCTGTGGAGAAATCAACTAACAATCTTATTGGTACTCTGTTGTACATAACTAACTGCTTTTCTCTTGCTGATTTTGAGATTCTCTCCTTTTACCTTTGGTTTTTCATTATAATGTGTCTTGGTGTGGGCCTCTTTGGGTTCATCTTGTTTGGGACTCTCTGGGCTTCCTGGACTGGTATATTTATTTCCTATGCCAGGTTAGGGTAGTTTTCAGTCATTATTTCTTCAAATAGGTTTTTAATCCTTTGCTCTTTCTCTTCTCCTTCTGGTACCTCAATGATATGAATGTTAGTATACTATATTGTTCCAGAGGTCCCTTAAACTGTCCTTATGTTTTTTTCTTTAAAAAATTTTTTTTCTCTGTTCTATTTGAGTGTTTTATGCTACTTTGTCTTCCAGATCATTGAATTGATTCCCTGCTTTACTTAGTTTACTGTTGATTCCATCTAATGTATTCTTCATTTCTATCTAGTTCTTTTTTTATGGTTTCTATCTCTTTGTCAAAGTTCTCACTGAGTTCAACTACTCTTTTCCTAGATGCATTGAGAATCCTTATGAACAGTGTTTTGAACTCTGTATTTGGTAGATTCCTTGCCTTTATTTTATTTAGCTCTTTTTATGGAGTTTTGTCCTGTTTTTCCATTTGGAACGTGTATTCGTGTCTCCTCATTTTGTGTGCCTCTCTGTGTTTGTTTGTATGTAGTAGGTAGAGCTGCTGTGTCTCCTAGTCTTGGCAGAGTGGCCTGAGTAGTAGGTGTCTAGTGGGGCCCAGTGTCTCAGTCTCCCTGGCCACTTGAGCTGGGTGTTCCAGGGATGTCACTTGTATCGGTTATATATGGCCTCCTGTTGTACTTGAGCTTTGATTGACGTTGGCACATCAGTGGGTGGGATTGACCCTCAGGCTGACTGAAAACTGCTCTTGACTACAGCAGACAAGCTGTTGTGCAGGGGCTGCCCTTCCAAAATGGAATTCCATTTAGCTGGACTCTGGTGCCTGACAAGTTTTCCCTTTGATTTGTCATTTGTGGAGCTAATTAGATGGTGATCTGGTGTGGCCAGAAGCCAGCCACTGGATGTGTTGGTTTCGAGGTCTCTTGGTAGGGGCTATGGTATAGGCCCAGGTCAGCCACTGCCCATCTTTAGCTTAGGACTACTTGGTAGGAATTACAAAGTGATCTGTGGCTCATAGCTGCCTGTGCTGGGCTTGCAGGTGCCTGGGAGAGGCTGTGCTGTGTGACAAGTTTGGCTGTCACTAGTGCCAGGCTTGGGGCCCCTTAGTAATAGGTACAGGGTTTGCTGAGTCCAGTCACTGCTTGTTTGAAGTTTGTGGAACTTTGAGAAATTTTAGGAAAGTCCACAGCATTATCTGAGGCTGGCTGCTGGTAAGGAATAGCTGCTGAAAGAGGTTTGGGCAGGTGCACAAACTGGGTGGGGCAGGGTCTCAAGGAATCACCATGTTTTTGGTTGGGCTTGCTTATCATGGTTGAAAGAGACTCAGATTTGGCACCCACTCATCTGTGCTTGCTGACTGTGTTGGAGGGAGGGCTCGACAAAGGAACAATGGTGTCTGTGAGCACCTAAGTCCTAGAGAGATTTGCCCCTCCAGCCCTTCCCCTGAAGCCAGACAATTCAGTTCCTCCCAGTACATCCCTGGTGCTTTTTTGGGTTTCTGTCCCTTTACTGGTGCTTAGGGTGAGTTTTTGTGAGTGAGTGACCATACTCAGACCCTTTAAGAGGGCACCTGGGCTTCCAGCAGCCCTCTGTCTCAACTGGACAGGTTCCCTGCTAATTTTCACAGCCAGATGTTGTGGGAAATCCTCTTCCTGGAACTGATGCTCTGGGCTAGGGAGGCTAGTATGGGGCTGGGACCCCTCTCTTCTCAAGGGGGACCTCCACAGCCAAGATATTCCTCCTGATTCTTACCCACCACTGGGGTATGGCTCAGCCCATTTCGTGTCTCTGCCCCTCCTACTGATATCGACATGGCTTCTTTATATTTAGTTAGAGGAATTTTGTTCAGCTGGTCTTCAGGTGGTTTTCAATTATGGTTGTTCTGAAATTTAGTTGTAATTTTGATGGTTGTGGGCAGAGGTTAACACAGTGTTTTCCTGCTCTGCCGTCTTGACTGGAAGTTCATCTTTTATTCCTTACGTTTTTCCCCCCAGTATAGGCTGACAGGTTATTTATTATTTCATGTGTTATAATGTGTTATAAACCATTCTTGCCACGATTCAGACTCAATTGTTCTAGTGTGATCAGTGGCATCGCCTTTGGTCTGCTTCCTGTGGCTTTTTTTTTTTTTTTAAATTGTGGCAGTGAAATTAGCATAATTAAAAACTTGACCATTTTAAAGTGAACAACTCAGTGGCATTTAGTACATTCACAATGTTGTGTAACCACTAACTTTATCTAATTCCAAATATTTTGATTTCCCCAAAATAAAACCCCTTACCCATTAAGCAGTTTCTCCCTGCCATCCCCTCTGTCCAGCCCTTAGCAATCACTAGAATGCTTTCTGTCTCTGTGGATTTTCTTTTTCAAGATCTCTCATATAAATAGCATCACACCACAATGTGTGACCTTTGTGTCAGTCTTCTTTTACTTTACATAGTATTTTCAAGGTTGATGCTTTTCATTATTTATTTATTTATTTTTATGGTGACATTGGTTAATAAAACCCAGTAAGTTTCAGGTATAAAATTTAAAAGTAAGGCGTGTGTGTGTGTGTGTGTGTGTGTGTGTGTGTGTGTTGTGTATATAACATTGTGTGTTTTATATGTTTTTATGAGTGAGTATTATCTTTACTTTTTTCGTAATTAAAATCGTGAATCATTATCCGTCAGGACTCTCACTGACTGTTTATTTTTCACTTTGAGAGTGTCTGCCTGTGGTATGGATAGATGACAGCTTGACAAAGGTTTCTTTGATTTCCACATTTGTGAGATATTTCGGATGAATATGTTATGATAGGGCAGAGCAGTAGCCAGAAGCTGCAAAGACTGGCTCCTTACTTACGGCCCCTCACACATATAGATGGCCCTTTATACAGTCACAAAAGTCCCTCCCACCCTGCCTGAACATAGGGCCCAGTTAGGCAATTGAAAATAGATTTACGTCAAGACCAACATCCTACTCAGCCTTTTTATTTTTTCAGATTTTATCTCAGAACCAGAGTTGTTCAGATCTGCTCATTTGAGTGACCTTTTGTCATCGGCATCTCCATTTCGGCAAGATGAAATGGGATAAGGGTGAATTAACAGATTACATGGGCAGGCTGGTTTTTAAAAAATAAAACCTTTGCGGTATTTGAAATGAGCTGTTCTTTGAACTCAATAGGAAAGTGTAGTACCCAGGAACTGGTTCTAACTTACTTAGAAAACTGGAGAAAGAATTCTTAATAGGGGGTGGCCCTGGCATCAGTGAGATATGCCAAGTAGAAGTCTTGTGGAAAGTAGTGTCTGGATAGAGGAACAGCTTTAATGATGAGGGAACTGTCAGGCCTGTTGGGCCATCCTGAGGAGGGTCTGTTAGTTTGTCCAGGAATTGCTAAGAGGGCTCTGATTCTGCACTTACTGTGACCTGAGAGGATCCAATGAGCTACCTGGCTAGGCTTGACCCAGGGGACCCTGGGAAGCAGGGGAGCAGTGCTGTAGTGAGAGTCAGTGAGAAAAATGGAAGAAAATGGATTCCCAGCGAGAGTACTTAGGATGGGGTGAATTGTAGTGCAAGTCAAATGGGGAGATGACAGGGTGGGCTGGGAACTGGTGGCAGAGGAGTGCGTGAGGTATAGAGGACAAGTTTCTGCTTGGAACTAAAAGAAAAATCTCTAGGGAAATGACCAGGAGAAAGAAACAATGCTTGTTGAAATGAGAGAAACTCAGACCTCTCAGGTATATGAAAGAAGCCAGAAAACCTGAGGATAGCAGACTTCATGCTGATAGAATCTAAAGCAGTACAGCTGATATAAATAGAGCAGGGGGGTAATAGACCTTGGGCTGATTACTAAGGAAGTGACTTAAAAATAACTAAAATAGACCTAAGGAGACCACGTGTCAGAATGTGTGGTCTAAAATCCCAGTGTTTTATTTAGAGTTTTGTTCATCTCTCAGTCTGAAGTAGCTTTGTCAGTGCTTTGTGAGTGCTGCTCCTTTTCCTTTTCTGTATCAGAGCTTGTAGGGTGCATCTGTCTGAGGTTACAGAGCAGCCATCCAGCTCAAGATTTGTATGGCAGATAATAGAAAAAAGCAGTTCCTTGCTTTTTAAACAAAGCCCAGTGATTCAGAACCCTCTAAATAAAGGGCACCCTTCCAGTTTTAAAAGCCATGTGTGAACTGCAGTTACCATTTCTCGGAGATGCGTTATATTTGTGATATATGTACCATTTTAGTACAGGACTACTTTCCAGTGAAATTTTAGTATTCTAACATAGTAGTTAAGGCCTGGAGGGCCTTATGCTCTGCTTCACTGTTAACAGGTATAATCTCAAGTTTATAGAACCATCCTTGCTGTGTGCATTGCTTCTCTGGGAAGGAATTCTGCTCTGCTTTCTGACAGAAACTCTATGAGCTTCTGTCTGATCAGGGTGTTATATAATTAGTTATAAGTGCCTGTACAGTGGCTGATTAACCCTTAGCTATATTCCTACAGATTGGGTTAAATTGTAAGCTCTAGCACTATTGTTAGTGTCTGCGAAGTCTGGCTTATCATTTGCTGTTTGTCAAGACTCACTAGAGGATTTTGGGTCACTCTCAATAGTGAAGAAATATACTCTTAACATCAACTTTTGTGTGTTATAGTCATGATTCTGAACCTCCGGTGAGGAATTATTGATCAGATAGGCATCTTGGCCCTCAAAGTAAAAAAACACATTAAAAAAAAAAGATTATTTAATCATAACATGGAATGAAGTACTGATACATGCTACAACATGGATGAACTTTGAAAACAGTATGCTAAATGAAAGTATCCATAAAAAGGGCCACATATTGTATGATTCCATTTATATGAGGTATCCAGAATAGGCAAATCTAGAGATAGAAAACTTGGTAGTGGTTGCCAGGGCCTGGGATGGGAAGGAGAAACAGGGAATGACTGCCAGTGAGTATAGGGTTTCCTTCAGGGATGATGAAAATATCCTGGAACTAGATAGTGATGATGGTTACACAACATTGTGAATGTACTTAGTGCCACTGAATTGCGTATTTTAAAATGGTTAAATTTTGTGTTATTTACAATAAAAACATACCAAACAAATACCAATTCCGTTTTCATAGCTGTTTCTTTTCTTTATTGTAGGTATTTTGCAAATGAACCATTTGCTGACTTCCACCGCGTAGAAGGATTACAAGGAGTCTACATTGCTACTTTGATTAATGGCTCCATGAATGAAGAGAACATGAGAACAGTCATCACCTTTGACAAAGGGGGGACCTGGGAATTTCTTCAGGCTCCAGCCTTCACGGGATATGGAGAAAAAATAAGTTGTGAGGTATACTTTAATCTTATTTTTTTTTTTTTTTGACAAACTTTTATCTGTAGTTCTACTCTTACAGTTCCCAAACTCTGTACCAAGGTACACTGGTGCCATAGCGAACTCACAGGGGCACCATGGACATTTTAAACTTTTTAGAGAAACACTGTGGTACTTGACATCTGTTTGTCCCCAGGTGAATTACTATCTTGAGTTAGTTCAGTTTCACCATTAGTTCATGGGATATTTCTTTTGATGACATCATATCTTTGTGAAGCTGAATTTTCAGCAGTTGATGTGATAGAAAGCAAGTGAGAAAATGAGAGTGGAACAGGTGCCATAGGTGTTTAAAAAAATAAAAATTTTTCTCTGAATATAATTTAGAACTTTAACAACTTTCTCTTTCTATGGCTTTATTTGAAAAGTTAACAATACTAAAATGTATTATTTGGTTCCATTAAGTGTTCCCATATACTAAGCAGCTTCTTTATTTTTCCCTTACAAGAACAGTCTATGGATTGTGGTCCCTGGCTTTATATCGTATACCACACCTCCATTTTCATTTCACCTAAGGTAAATAGGATATGTAAAGTAGGTGGGCAGAAAGAACTCAGAAAAAAACAAGCAGTACTGATTTTTGGAGAAACTATAACATTTTAGTGAGACAATTACCGGGTCTTTAGGATGATTGAATTTTATTTGCCCATAGTTGAATATGTTGACCTCCTAAATGCTGTATCTGTTGCCCTTGGGAAATTTTTCCTGGAAACTCTTGCTCTAGAATGTACTTGATTTCTTGTTCGATTTGACACCAAGTCTTGACTTACCATATCAGATCTGACTTTTGAAAGAGTCAGGATATAAGTAAGTAGTAACCAATACCTAGGTGTTTCTCATTTACTCATTAGTGTCTTCTAGATCTCAGGAGCTCTGCATGAGCCTGGTGTGGATGGGGGCAGGGCATTTTTTCAGCTTGCAGTGGGGGTCCAAGCCTTGGTTAAATAGAATTAAAGGTATTGTTAAAATTTAGCTTCTTACTTCACTGACTGATTGGTTTATTTATGAACTGTACAACAGTTAATCAGCTTTTAGTTTCTACTTCTGATTTTAGGCGGTGAAAGAAAAGAAGGTTAAAAAGGTTGTCATGTATTTCTTTGAGACCCAGCCTAATTTGCTCTAGTTTTCATTTGCCAAAGTGTGATGTTAGCAAGGTGGGTATTTGTTAGAGATCCTTTGTTATAAAATTAGGTCTATCTGGCAAACATGCCACAGTTTTTACCTGTGCCAGAAGCACACACAGAATTATCCTGCCCAGAACACATTTTATAATCACTTTCTGGCCAAGAGAATCAGGCAAGACTATATAGCAAAAGGCCTTGTCCGCAGAACTATTAAAATCTGAACATAAGTGTTGGAGGCCGGTTTGAATAACTCAAAATCTTGCAGTAAAAACCTGTAGACTTTGTACCATGTACAAATGCAGACTTCTCAAAAAAATTTAATGTGAATTATTTGGTGTTTATATCTCATATGTTGTATATCTGGGAGCTTATCAGTGAGACGTTATGACTTCTGATTCTTGGTTTTTCATCTGACAGAATTGCTTAAATCATATTCTAAATGCATCTCAACTGACTTAGAAAATAAGTACCATGAAGTTATTTCATTTCTTTTTAGTTGCAAGTCACATGAGAGAATCTCTAGGTAATATGGAAAGAGCGATAGCTTTCCCATTCAATTGAGTTGACACTTATTCCTAATTGCTATTTCTCTAAGATTCTCAGGAGGAATTTTTATTAGCATTCTCTTTTCTTCAATGAGAGCATTTATGTGGTTCAGATGATCATGTCCATCTGGGGAAGTATGAGGACAGCTGGGCTATGACTCTGATTTCCTTAGGGCCAGGTCTTCCTTGGTGTCTAGCTGCAATGTCTGCACACAGTTCTCAGTGTTTAGAGGGTGATCTAGGCATCACATCATTTGCTGACAGTGCCTGGAACTTGTGTTTTGTAGCTCTCCAAGGGCTGTTCCCTCCACCTGGCCCAGCGGCTCAGTCAGCTCCTCAACCTCCAGCTCCGGAGGATGCCCATTCTATCGAAGGAGTCGGCTCCTGGTCTCATCATTGCTACCGGTAAATTTGCTTTGCCTCTTCTCACTTACTGGTTAAGCCATTTGGTTATGTGCAGACAAATGCACAGTGACTACTGACATCTGCTACAGTAACTGCTGTCCGTGGTTTTGAGACATTCTTAGTTGCTAAGTCCTTCTCAGAATTTCTAGTTGGGCAAGGCAATTATCTGATATATTCTTGAAATCAAAAATAATTATTATTCTTGCATTTTAGGTTCAGTGGGAAAGAACTTAGCAAGCAAGATGAACGTGTACATCTCGAGCAGTGCCGGAGCCCGGTGGCGAGAGGTTAGTCCCCCGCCCCCAGTTCTTGTTTGTAGGGGAATATAGACTGAGCATGGACATTTTAGGGACACATACGGCCCATGGTGGAGGCCACCGATGCCAAATATGACTATAAAATAAAGAGAGGTACCAGAGTCACATGTGAGGGTCAGCTGCTCTGATCTGTATTCATACTTTGTAATGTGAGCTTGTGATTTTGCCAAAAATGCTACTTTGAATCAAAAACCTTTTTAAAAAAGACCTTTAAAAATTTTTTTTTTGACTAAATGTTCTAAGATTATAAGTTCCATGAGGACAAGGCAATGTCTGTTTTACTTATTCTTTACCCCTAGGACCTAGCAGTGTTTGGCATGGGGTGGATGCTCAGTAAATATATGCCGACTCTATTAGCAAATTACAATGTAGTTGTAGTGGTTTCAGGTCTGACCCTCGTTATTTATTTATTTTTGTATATTATTGAAGTTAAAGTCAAGCCTCTTCTCACTGGATTGTGATGGACTTTCATCTCATTCTGTGCCATGAAAGAAGACTTTTTTTGCGTTAGGGTTGTGTAACTAATTTGGATCCTTAGACATTGATTATACCAATTTTGAAGGTAGAGCTAGTTTTCCAGTCCTGGAATGCTAATGCAGCATTGGACATTAGGAAATTCCCAAACTTGTAAAAAAAAAGTTTTCCACCAAGCCCCTCGTGACTTATTAAGTCTAAAGGAAGTGAATCTGGTCTCATTCTGTAGGGGCTGCTTTCAGAGGCTCTCCATTGCATGTGCAGGGTTCCACCAGGAGAACTCAATAGAAGGCTTTGACAAGAGCACCTCCTACAGGCTAAGTGTGATGTCAGCAGGTATATGGAGTTCTTGGAAGAGTAGCAGATAGTTCCCATCCTCTTGGTGCTTCTTATTGGGAATGCAATGTATATACTTTCATGTTTAAATATGTAATATGTAAAGCAGTAATAAAACCCAACCTTTGTGTGGCTTTTTGGAGTTACCGAGTCCTGTCACATATCCTATCTCATTTACGTAGGGCTTATCTTTCTACCTGAGAGAGATCTGGGACTCTGACACTGTCTGCTTGCGTGTGTGTGTGCGCACGCGCATGTGTGTGTGTGTGTAAATAAAGGACCGACAATATATGTACTTATTTAGATGAAAGAGATCATTAAGGCTAGAGTAGTCAAAAAGTGAGAACAGTTTGGAATTTCGGGGGTATCTTTGTCCTGCTCCCATGGGAAAGATTAAGCAACTGCTTTCTTCTTCCTTGGAACTGGACATTCCTTTTGAAATTGGATGTTGTCTCCTCTGTGGATAGCCTTGTGGTTTGTTTGTACTTTCTGATGTTAGTACGATCAGGGATTTGAACATCTGCAAGTAATTTCCTTCTGGAAATCAGTGTCAGTAGAAAGCAGTGTCTTGTTCCTCCTCCAGTGAAGTGGTACCCTCTGGCTGATGCTGGAGCAGCTGTCAGTGTCTCCCTCCAGGAATGCTTAGTGCCTGCCAAGAGGCAGCCATCACATAAGGGACCTTATTTTTGGAAATAGCAGAGAACTAACCCAGGAGATGTAAAGATTGAGGTTATCTGTGTGACCAGGCATCTGAGTCCCCATTGGCAGCCGTTACTTTATTTTTATTTTTGTTTGTTTGTTTGTTTGTTTGTTTGTAGCCTTTACTTTAGAGGGAGAGTCTGGGATGTGTGAAAGGAATAGGTGTTTGCAGGGGGACAACGAAATAAGATGCAGTGGACAGAGTGCTGCCTAGAAAACTGATGACTATAATTCTTGTTCCCTTTCTGTTACTAATTGGTTGTGCAAATTCTCCAATCCTCAGAGTTCCCTTTTTATGCTTTTTTTAAAAATCAATTTTATTAAGGGGTATGGAATCACAGTAAACTACACATATTTGAAATTTACAGTTTGATCAGAATCGATCACCATGACTACACCATCAGTACACCACAAATACAACAGACGTTTCCATCACCATCCAAATGATCATTGTGCCCCTTTGTAAATCATTCTTCTCTTTACATTTGGTTCTGTCAGATTATTAGTATTTCCTAGCATTCTATATAAATGGACTCATACAATATGCAGTCCTTTTGCCTGGTTTCTGTCAATCATGATGATTTTTAGGTTCATCCATGTTGTTTAGTGGTTCTTTCTTATTTATTCCACATATTCATCTGTTGATTGACTATTCTAAGTCCTTTGTATTTCCAAATACATTTTAGAATTTATACAAAACTTGCTGGCATTTTGATTGGGATTGCATTGAATTTATAGATCAATTTGGAGAAAATTGATATCTTAACACTACTGAGTCTTTTGATCCATGAATATAGTATATTTCTCCACTTCTTTTAAAATTTCTTTTAACAATATTTATAGTTTTCAACGAGGAGAGCTTATATAGCTTTTGTTAACTTTATTCCCCTGTTACTTTTATTTTTAGATATTGCTGTAATTAGGATTTTATTTTAAGGTCATTTACCAATTTTGCTATAAGATTTAAGGCTACAATTGAATTTTATATATTAACCTTGTATTCTGCAAACTTGCTAAAATAATTCATTAGTATTATTATTTCGTAGATCCCGTAAAAGCAACTATATCATCTGCAAATAGAGACAATTTTATTCCTTCGTGCTCTTTATATCTCTTATTTCTGTCTTCTTTCCTTCTCCTCATTAATATGTAATAATATGGGTAATATGTAATATGATGTACTATATTAAAGAAAAAGTATTTATCTTCACTTTCAGAAAACTTCTGACATCAAATGTGTAGACATTTTCCCCTCACATTAAGCAATTCTTCAACTCTATGGACATCAACTGGGTGTCCTACAATTCAGTCATTACACTAAATAGCTTGAGTTAGCATAGACCCCACAGATTAAGGGCTCAGTTTCAAGAGTGCCCTTACCCCTTCACCTTCAGATTCAAATTGCAAGTTCTAGGTTGTCACCTGTACTTCTTACTGACTGGCTATAAATCAAAAGTTCCCATGATCCCCTCTTCAGGCTCAATAATTTGCTAGAACAGCTAATAGAACTCAGGAAAACATTTACTTATAATTACAGGTTTATTATAAATGGTATTATAAAGAATACAGATGAACAGCTAGATGAAGAGGTACATAGGGCAAGGTCCAGAGGGTCCTGAGCAAAGGAGCTTCTGTCTCCGTGGAGTTGGAATGTGTCATCCTCCCAACATGAGGATGTACTCCCAACTCAGAAATTATCCAAACCCTGTAGTTTAGGATTTTTTTTTTTTTAAGTGGAGGTCTCATCACATAGGCATGATTGATTGTTAACTCCATTTCCTGCCCTTTCCCCTCCCCAGAGCATGGGCAGTGGGGCTGAAAGTTTCAGGCTTCTAATCATGGTTAGTTTTTCTGATGACCAGCCTCCATACTCCCCAGGAGCCCAATAAGAATCACCTTATTAGAATAAAAGACTCTCTTATCACCCAGGAAATTCCAGGGGATATCGGACTGTTCACCTCCATCACTCAGGAAATTATAGGGATTTTAGGAGCTCTACATCAGGAGCTGGGGTCGAAGACCAATTAAGACAACAGAAGATGCTCCTGTTGCTCTTATCACTTAGGAAATTACATTAGGTTTAGGAGCTCTGACCAGTAACTAGGGATGAAGACCAAAATATATATTTCTTCTTATATCACAATATCACATAAGTAATATGTTATATTAATTAATTCTTGGGCATTAAACTGACCTTGACTTACTGGGATAAAACCTACTTAATTATACCAAGTTTTGGTGTTAAGGTTAGGCTGGTGTCATAAAACAAGAAAACAAGTTGAGTAGTGAGCTCTCTTCTGTTTTCTGGCAAAGTTTGTGTAAGAATGGTGTTATTTATTTATTTTTTTCTTGATGAATAATTCATCAGTGATGAAACTATCTGGACCTGGAGTTTTCTTCTTGAGAATGTTTTTATTAGAAATTTAATTTCTCTAGCATAGAGAAAATTTAGATTTTCTACTACTAGTGTTAATTTTGGTGAGTTGTATATTTTAAGAAACTTGTCCTTTCATCTAAATTATTGAATTTGTTGGATTAAAGTTACTCAAGATATTTTCTTCTTTTTTTTTTTTTAATGAGGATCTGTGTTGATAACCTGTTTCATTTTGGTATTGATGATTTGTGTTTTTTTCTCTATTTTTCTTGATAAGTTAGTGGTTTGTCAATATTATTGATATTTTCAAAGACCGTGCTTTTGATTTTAATTTTCTCTATTGTCTGTTTTCTACTTTATTGATTTCTGCTCTTCAGGGTTTTCTTTCTTTTATTTTTACCTATTTACTTTGGATTTATTTTGCTTTTCTTTTTGTAACTTCTTATGATATAACTTTAGGTCATTGATTTTAGATCTTTTCTAATATACACATTTTAAAGCTGTAAGTTTTCCTCCAAATGCTGCTTTAGCTACATGCCACAAATTTATTTATGTTATATTATTGTTGTTATTCAGCTCAGAATATTTTTCATGTCTTCTTTTAAAATTGGGATACAATTCACCATTTAAAAGTGTACAATTCAGTAATTTTTATGTGTTGTACAATTGTTGCCACTCTCTAATTCCCGACCACTTTTATCATTTTATAATGTCCCTTTGCTTTTTGTCTTTGACTGGTAAGTTATTTAGAAAAGGACTGTTTAGTTTTCAGATATTTGAAATTTTCATAGATATCTTATTATTGATTTCTAATTTAATTTCCTTGTAGTCAGAATATACTTTGTGTGATCTCGATCCCTTTAAATTTATTGGGGCTTGCTTTGTGATCCAATATGTGGTCTATCTTGGTGAATTTATTATATGCATTAGAAAGGAATGTGTACTCTGCAATTTGGATGTAGTGTTCCAAAGATGTTATTTATATGGATTGGTTGATATTCTGTTGCTCAGATCTTCTGTGATCTCATTTCCTTTTTTTGACTACTTCTATAAATTGCTGAAAGAGGAGTGGTGAAATCTCCAACTACGATTGTGGAATTGTCTATTTTTTCTTTAAATCCTGTCAATTTTTGTATTATGAGGTTCTGTTATTAAGTACATGCATATTTATAATTATTGTCTCTTCTGATTGTCCCTTTTATCATTATGAAATATTCTTCTTTATCTATGGGAATATTCTTTTTCTTGAGGTCTCTTTTATCTGATTCTGAAATAGTTACTCCAACCTTTTTATGTTTACTGTTTAGATAATACATCTTTTACCATCCATTTACTTTGTACTGTGTCTTCATAGTTGAAGTATTTCTTATAGGCAGCATACAATAGGGTCTGATTTTTTTATTCATTTTCTCAAGCTCTTATTTTTTAACTGAAACATTTAGATCATTAACATTTAATGTAATTATTCTTATGATTGGATTTAGGTCTAATATTTTATTTGTTTTTTATTTACACATATTCAATCTTTCGGCCTTTTTCGAATATTGCACTTAATATAACACTTAACATAATGTTTTGAAACTTTACAACCATATAGCCCCTTTTCTCTTCCTCCAACCATTTTGTTATTGTTGTTCTATGTGTGATCTCAATCCCTTTGTTATTGTTGTTCTATGCGTGATCTCGATCCCTTCAACATACATTGAAAAGACCGCAAGATGGCATTTTTGTTTTCACTTTAAATCGTATTAATTTTAAACAACTTAGGAGGAAAAAAGCAGTATTATATGTTTACCCAGGTTTATTTACCATTTCTCTTGATCTTCTTTCATTCTTGAAGATTCCTATTTTCCTCTGATGAGTTTCTCTACACTCTGAAGAAATTCCTTTAGCATTTCTTACAGAGCAGATCTACATGCTATGCATTCTCTTGGTTTTCCTTCATTTGAGAATCTCTTTATTTCACCTTCATTCCTGGAAGATATGTTTGTTGGATATAGAATTCTGGGTTGATAGTAATATTCCTTTGGTACTTTAAAGATGTGCTGCTATTTTCTTGCTTCCCTGGTTTCTGACGAGAAATCTATAGTCATTTCACTTATCACTTTCCTATATTTAATGTGTCAATTTTCTCTAGTTGCTTCAAGATTTTTTCCCCTTATCTTTGGTTTTCAGTAGTTTTGTTATGTTGTCTCTAGGTGTGGTTTTCTTTGTGTTCATCCTTTTTGGGGACACTGATCTTGAATGTATAAATTTATGTTTTTCACTCAGTTTGGGAAATTTTCAGCTGTTATTCAGATATTTTTTTTCTGCTCCATTCCCTTTCTTCTGTTCACTTTGAACTCAATTACATGTTAGACCTTTTGTTATTGTCCCACAGGTTCTTGGTGCTTTTTATTTAATTTTTTTTCTATTACTGTTCTTTATCTTAAAGCTCGCTAATTCCTTTATTTCTATTTTATTGAATACATTAGTGAATTTCTTAGTTCAAATATATTTTTAAGTTCAAAATTTTTTTCTTTTAAATATTTTCTATTTCTCTGGAGAAAATTCCTACCTTTCGTTTATTTCAAATGTATTTTCTTTTACCTCATGGAACACAGTTATGATAACTATTTTGAAGTCTTTGGTAATTTCAACATTTGCATCATCTTGAGAGTGGCACCTAATGTCTTTTCCCTTGAAAACTGGATGCATTCTACAGATAGATTTGTATATTTAGTAATTTTAGATTGTTTCATGGACAATGAATGAAATGCATGAAATGAAATCTTCTGGAATATGTGGATATTTTTGTTTTAGCATGTAATAATAACCTGTTTAGACTCATACCATAAGTTCTGTCTTGAATTCTGTGGGTGATAGATGAAATCTCATTTCAGTTTGCTAAGCCTTTGCTATGCTGGCTTGTGTCTGTTCCACACATGTGTAGTCTAGGGGGCTGAGACTTACATGAGTTCATACACAGAACTAAAGGATTTACTTCTTCAGCACTCTTGTAGGATTCTACTCACATTCTCCCTGGCCTGTAGGGAGGGGCTTCTTTTCTCAGTTCCTTAGGCAGAAACAGTTTGTGTCGAAGTTTTACCTAACTGGCTGAGACTGAGGTAATCCATAACTGGCGCTTTCCCTTGAGGCAAAGCCATACCAGGAAACCCCAGCTGTGTGGCTTCTCTAGGTTTCAGATCCCCTCCACAGGCTGCTTGATTTTGTTTACTTTTCTGCATCCTCAGGTAGCTGTCTTTTGTATTTTGTCCA